AGGTGAGACTAGAACATGCATGAAAGCAGGGAGGAAAGCTCGGACAGGTGTTTGAGATCAGCCCCGGAACGGGAATGACTGATGTCAATCATCCAGGGGACATAAATGTGGCCCTCAGGCACTGGCATGTGGTGAAGTTCAGTTTTTCTTCTGTAATGACAATGACCCGACTAATGCCTCATATAAGAGGACCTTTACCTCTATTTACCCCTAAAAACCCTCACTTCAATTCCCAGGGTCTCTGTGTTTCAAAGTTAAGGCATACAGAGGCTGAGCCAGCACTAAGTGGTGTCCAACTGATTATGAGTAAAAAAATTCTCATTTACTCTTGAGAGGCAAAATATCCTAAGAAGTATGCTGGCCCGTGATGCCCAGAGAGCACGAATAAGCAAGTTTCCCTTCATTCACAGACAGCAGTGCTAATCTCTGGAGATTATCTGGAGAGATCGCCATCTCTCAGGGAAACTCACCTGAAATGAAGACCTGTCAGACATGTTTCTTATCTAAATAACAAAACACAAAATATGTATTTGAGTGACTGTCTTCTCGGGACATTAAAATTTGATTCCCTTAGGAAACCCAGGCTGAGACATACAATGCAGCAATCTGATGGACCTACAGTTAGGAACATATTATACTCATTGTTACTCAATGCACACTCATAGTTGTCCTCTTTTTATGGGTTCTTAAGAATGAAAGTGGCTACATTACCTCCAAAATTCTTCCAGAGAAAAATTCATTTGTATTCATGTTATAAAAAGGCATTTTTTTTCTATCTGAAAAATATAACAAGCAGAGCAGCAAATCTTTTTTAGATATGTAAATTATAACTGCAACAAGAATAGATTGCTGGTATGTTTATTAAAAGAATAGTAAATGGATTTTCTAGGCAAAATGCATTCCAACTTTGCAATTAATCAACAGTTCCAGACCATCACTTTCTTAGATGCTTGCAAGAATGTGACAAAAAAGGCATCTCACCTATTTTGCCAACAGATTGCAGATAGGTTTTCCTTACATTGATTCGTCTCTTTCACTGATTTGTCATTTCATTTTGATCACTGGCTCACAACTGGAAAATAATCTGATCTTTGGTAAAATTGAACAGAGTGGGAGAAAGAATTCACATTTGTAGAACACCTACGAGGAGCAAGGCATGGTGCCAGGGACTTGGCACACGCAAGGGGCTTCAAACAGATTGTGGAAAATGAAATCAAAAGAGGAAGTGAATTTTCCATGAACTGTTTGAAGCCGCCCTCATATAATCTCAAGAAATGCCTGTAAGGTAAGTAGTTTCACCATGTCTCTTTCACAGCTTGAAGAAAAAGAGCCTTAGCTTCACACCGCCATTGGCAGAATAGGATTCAAACAGATTTCTATAGTTCACATCTTCAGGATTGTTCCAGGAGTCAACACATCTTCCTATGATGACTTAAAAATAGATCGGGGCATTTTATTCATTTTTCAAATTTATATTGTATATTATTCATCAAACAAACTCTGCCAAAATACAGCCATGTGTAACTTGCCTTCACATAAGATTAAAAGAGATGGGGATCAGCATTATGAGGAAATTAAAATTCTTGACTCATACTATAAAAGACATTCTTGCCATGAACAATTCAGGTTTGCACTATTCCTAAGGACCCATTGAGCTGCTAAACAAGCAATGGTCAAAAGTCAGAAAATTGAAGGAGAAAACAGGTAAATAGAAATAGATGACTTAATTTTCTTCTTTTTGTCTCAGATTGTGGTGAACGTATCAGCTTCATCCACTCAGAATCAATCTCTCTCTTTCTCCTCTTCTTTGAAACACACAGAGAGGTTAGTCTGCTGAGTTACTCCCCAGATGCCAGGAGCTGGACACTCACTCCCAGGTCTCCTATGTGGGTGGCAGTAACTTGGTTACTGGAGCCATCGCCACTACCTCTCACAATCTGCATTAGTAGAAAGCTGGAGTCAGGAGCCAGAACCAGGGGTCAAACCTAGGGCTCTGACACGGTACTTGGGGATCCTAATCATTTGAACTGCTAGGCCAAACACTCACAGCCAGAGTTATCTTTACTTCATTATTCACTGGAAAATACTGTAAGGGTGGGCACTGTGGCATAGTGGGTAAAGCCACGGTCTGTGGCACCGGCATTCCATATGGGCACTGGTTTGAGTCCCAGCTGCTGCTCCACTTCCAATCCAGGCCCCTGCTAGTGCACCTGGGAAAGCAGCAGCAGATAGTCCAAGTACTTGGAACCACACACCCACATGGGAGACCCGGAGGAAGCTCCTGGCTTCAGATGGGCACAGCTCCTCCCATTGCGACCAGTTGGGGAGTGAACCAGCAGGTGGAAAATCTCTCTCTGTAACTCTTTCATCTAAATAAATATACCACTCATGGTCTCTGGTAAATTCCAAGCATTGTCTGAGCACAAATGTCTGAGGTTCACTATCACAGACAGTTTTATCTCTAGAACAGTCACCTTCCCCTGCCTCTCAGAACTGCTCTGGGTCTACCTGGCATCTTACAGGATCTTCTGTTAGAAAAGAAAAAAACAGTAACTAAAGCATTTTCTTTTGTCTAAAAACACAATGCAGAAACATTTTAAGAATAAGAAAAGGTCTTTCTGTTACGCCTCCTTCAATAAAGCATTAATATTTATTAACTTACACTCTACTCTAGAATGAATATTTTAGGATCAAAAACAAGTAGCAGCAAAATGGGAATTTCAACCACAGCAACGCACTCCCAGGGATAAAGAGCTCAGGATGGGGTGAGCAACCACTGTTTTGGATTTGAGAGGATTCTAATTTACCCACCCAAAGGAGTGATTGATTACTGCTTCATGAGATTACTAGAGACAATCAAAAAGTTATGGGCTTCCTTTATCAATAAGAACCAAGTAAAATGAAACTATGAGCTAATGTTCTATTAATGCTACATTAACCAGTAGCACATATATTAATAGAATTGAAGGCCACTTCAAAAGCTCAGAATCATGTACCCATTTTAAATTCTCAATGTAGAATAGATTTTTTTTTTTTCAGTTTTGAACAAAAGCATATTTGTCTCAAGTGTGCCTATTCATCCACTCACTGAGTACATTCTATTTGCCAGGCACATAGAAATGTGGGGTTGTGAATCACTATTGAAGTCTAAAAAATGGCTTACATGAGATACTCACTATTGAAGGTTGCCCTTACTAAATCACTTTGTAATTCCCTTAACAAACTACCCGATCTTATTACAGCTTTTCATGGTGAATTATTACATGCTGAAAAAGAACAAGAGCATCTAGACTCGATAATTAATGTACACACTGCACAAAAGGCCAAAGAATAAATACTCGGTAGCATTTATTTCTGTCTCAGCAATGTCAGTGATTTAATATGGTAATAGCTAAACAGAGCCCACATAACAATGGGCCTAATGAATGTTTCCTTTTCATAGTCATGAGTGAAGTTTATATCTGAATATTATACAAGATTTCCAGCACATCATCTTAGGTTTCCATTGAGTCTAACAAATATGTGAAGGAGTAAGCATAGATTTTGGAATCAGGCATACTTGGGTATGAATTGGGTTTTAATTGTAGTCAACTTTTGGAAAATTTACTCTACCTGCCCATTTCTCAGTTTCTTCATCTACGAAAAGAACATACCATCTACCTTGCAGGATCATTACAAGGAACATAAAGAATGTATGTAAAACAACTAGCCCACAATAGGTATTACTTTTCTGTTTTTACTAAAAATCTGAAATTTTTCTATTTTAGGTAGTATAATTCACCATGAAAAAGGTAGATTAAGACAGAGGTAAACACTTAGAGCCTCATCTCATGAGACAGTTACTTTGCATTCAACTTAAATTATGTTCATATAAGGGGTCTAATATGAATAATGTTGATTTTAAGTAACAGACCTTCAGATTATTGAATGGTGTTGACACAAAAAGTTACGTTTCTCCCCTGAATGCCCACTCTCCAGAACTGTGACTGTTCTGCTGTGCCTACTAAAGAATGGACATGGTACAGAAGGAAAGAAAAGCAAAAAACTGAAAGATCAACTTCAAAATAAAATGGTCATTGGCATACCAGTTTTAGAATACAATGAAAACACAAATTCTAATTCTCTATGAACTCAGTAAGCAAATAAATATTCCTTTAAGCAGTCTTATTTTGAATGGACCATTTACCATAAACCTTGCTTCTATCCAAAGCAACACTAGGAAGAAGATGCAGATTATATAGTTAGCTCTCTGTATTCCTAGGTTCTACATCCATGGATTCTACCACTCAATGACTTAAAATATTCAGAAAAAATTCCATCTGTACTGAGCATGTATAGACCTTTATTCTTACTAGCCCATGAACAATATGGTATAACAACTGTTTAAGTAATATCACCTGTGTAATAGATATATAAATAATCTAGAGATTAAAGTATATTGGAGAATGGGTATAGATTATATGCAAATGCTGATGCAACAATGACATAAGCCTCAGCCATTCTCCCTCATTGCCCAAAATAGACAGACACTGGAATGTATTCCTTGCCTTTAAAACTCAATTGGGTCTCACACCCTATTCCCTTCATACCTTACCCCTTACAGCCACCTGGAAGACCAGTTCCAGGAATTCCTCTCTGCCTGCTACCCCTACTCCATGCAGGTAGGCCTTCTGCCACGTGTTCCATCAGTGTGCGCACAGGCAGTTGGTCACCCACCTCTACTGATTTATTTTCTCTGAATAAATTCAGTCTGGCTGTAAATTCGTACACTACCTCCTCTCTATTCTGCACCTCTTTTCCTAACAAATACTATACTATTTTATACAACAGATTTGAGGAAAAGCAACCTGGAACCAATCCTTTGTGGATACAGAGGGACCACAATACTTTCAGTGTATCAAAGAATCGATGGATGTTTTCTCTTTTCTTTCCTCTCTGTCTAGTTCTCCTCCTCACCTCTTGTTTTCTGACTTTTACTTCTTCCTTTTGATACCCTGCAGGTTGTACGACCATATCAGACCATGTCCAATCCCATGAGCAAGCTCACTGTTCTCAACAGCATGCATTCCCATTTCATTCTGGCTGACAACGGTACCACTGGCAAATATGGAGCAGAAGTGAAACTTCGGAGGCAACTAGAAAAGCATATTTCACTCCAGAAGATAAACACAAGTAAGTAGGCCATTGTTCTCACTCCCATGCCTCATGGAAAGTATGCTGAAGGGAAGTAACTTTACAGTGGTATTATGAAAGCTTGAACAAGTCTCAAGTAGAAACCATTATTTCTAATGGGCCAGTGGATTCATGTGACTATGTCATCTAGAAAGGGACATCTGGACTCATTATGCAATTAGAGGACTCAAGTTCACTTACCACACATGAAAAATGGGTTCATGAATGCAGATAAGCTTTGCTCTCCAAACTTTTCCAACTTACTTTATGCAGTGCTCCAATGAAGAAAGTCACCCTAGAAAAAATTTTATGTTTATTAAGCTTATTTTTTGTGGCTAAAAAAAGAAATGAGGTTTTGATCTTATCAAAGATTTGGCTGGTCAAAGGTATTTTAATGTCACTGAACATTCTTTAAGCTAAAACACTCATGTGCAACAATTTTAATGAAATTTGATTCCTTCTCAATTTTATGTGTATAGTCACTCATTGTCTCAAGATATGTATCTAGTTATATATGTATATTTATGTATAATGGAGATTGCTTGGTTATACTATCTCTTAAATATTTGTGCTCTGTGCTGTATTTACTGTGCCATTTATTTTTACTGTGAAGAGATTGCATATTAAAGCCAGCAATGCTCTCCAGATCACTAAGTGGCTTGAATTGGAATGTGATGGAGGTATGACAAACTGTCTCCTATCCATCTTTACAAAATCTAACTTAGATGGTTTTCCCAAAGTAGCATGGGAGGCTTTGTGACAAACTCAAACTTTGTAGTGATTCACTGTCCCAACTGATTGAAATCCCAGAGCCTGCCATTTGAAATCACAAAAGATTGCCTTTGACTAGGTTAGTTTTCACAAGTTCTCCTCTCTGCATCTGGCTCAGACAGTGCTAACTTCTTCCCAGGACTGGGATGTCAGACCTCTCATCAACTTCTCCTTCCTCCACTCTCTTCTCTGGTTCCACCTTTCAAGAACCTTTACTGTCAAGGAAGTCAACTTTCACACTTTCATCTTTTCACAGTGAGGTCCAGAATACTAATTTATGACCTAGGTCTGAAGTAAAACTAATCAGGAAACCCCATGGTGACTTTCTTTTGGAAGTCATATAAAACCCTAGAAAACTGATCCAGAGATCAGATGTGACAAAGCACTGTCATAAATGAGTAGTAGACTATACTTTAAATACCAAAATCAAACTAGATTACAACATTTGATAGAATGGTCCAAGGTTATGTAATCAGTGCTATCTATGAACATTTTTATAGGATTTAGCATTACTTTTTATTTTAAACCCTCTTAGGTTAAGAATCAGAGCTTAAATAGGAGTGGAATCTGAAGGAGACAAGAGTAAGACCAAGAATACATTCAGGTCAAGTTTAGTATGGAGTCCTGTTCAGACAAGCACTGTACCCAGCCCTAGTTGCAGCTGGGCCAGTTAGCACTGGTGGAGCAGAGCTGCGTGGTTGATTGTGTACATTATACACCACTCAAAGTAAATGCAAGCAGGCTAAAAACATAGCCAGGGCTCTGTAAGTCAAGCCTTGTGCCCAGAGGATACCCAGATGACCTTATCCTAACAGGTCATCCCAGAGGGATTACCTTTGGAACTTCTGTGCTTGGAGAGATAGCATGTGTGTCCTAGTGGCCTTCCAGGGGAAGGTTCCTGGCCAGAGGCCTGGCCTCAGTTAGGAGTAGCACGAGGAGTAATAGACAGTTGTGAACTTGGGAATGCTGGAGGAGCCCCCATTATATGCAAGGCCCTAGTAGATGATCAGGCATGCATCCCATCCCAGCCTATTTCATGAGAACACCAGGTGTTTGCTGGACTTTCAAGGCAAGTAGTGCCACACTGATAGTGGGACCTCATCAGGAGTAGGGGAAAGCTGGGTACCCACATGCCAAATGAGTTCCTTGGAGACTGAGTATAAGGCATCATAGAAACTCACAGGCTCCCACTTGGTGAATTTAGTTCAATTTAATTCAAGCTCACCAGAGATCCTTGAAGTCATAGGAATTTGCCCATGAACTGGGTTGGAGCAGCAAGCCCCAGCTGGCCAGCTCCTCTGGCCAGGAACCTTCCCCTGCAAGGCCACTAGGACACACATGCTATCTCTCCAAGCGCCGAAGTTCCAAAGGTAATCCCTCTGGGCTGACCTGTTAGGATAAGGTCATCTGGGTATCCTCTGCACACAAGGTTTGACGTACAGAGCCCTGGCTATGTTTTCAAGGAGGGAGCAGCAAACTCCCCAGCGGGTAAAGAGGGACCCAAGAGCACTGGAATGGAGCAGAACTTTAGATTTCCCTCAGTTCTCAGTAAAGCCAGGGCCCACCAGGTACTCCACTGAGATACAGGGACAAAAGGTTGACCTAGCCCAACTTGAGACAGCAGGGGGCACAGCCCTTCAGTGAGGTCATTCTGCTTTCTTCTCTGGACCCTTAGGTTTTCCTTTATGCCATTATTAGCAATAATATAGTTCCTCCTCTTAAAAATAAAGTAACATCATGTAAGTGTAGTCTAAAAATTCTATTTACTCTTCCATTTCCAGCTTAAAAGTTTAGAAAATCCAAACTCCAACTGTGGAACTTGATTTCCTGTGAATGAGACACTACACCATAGTCACACTAGCCGCCACCACCCCAACGATGTTTGAATCTACTTCACATTTTCCTCATACAGGTGCCAAACCTCTTCTCACCTAGCGATTACCTGCATGCCATAGGGTCCTATCAGCAAGCCTATTTTCCTCTGAAGAAAATTTCTCTTACATATGATGTGAACCCTGCTTGGGAACCAAAAGCCCTTTCTCACCAACATGAGCTACTAATAACATACTACCAATACCACATGTTACACATTCTTCTCTGCACTCTGCCGTCCACTGTCTAATACTCTCTCCCTGAATTGCTGCTGCCCGCTGTCAGTACGGAAGCACTGTCATCAGCTATTGTTGGGCTTTGTTTTGAAGAGAATCCTTTCAAACGCAAGCAGGTACCCACTTCAGAGTCATCTTTCATCTGCAATTTTCTAAACTTCAATGCAATTTCTAAACTCTTCCAAATGCAATATGCTAGGAACATTTCCACTGACTCCTTTCAGTTGTTTCTTGAATGCCTGTTGTGGACCAGTCATGGTTAAGATCAAGAAAAGTGGCAGCAATTTACTGAGCTGAAGTCAAGAGAAGCAAACACAATACTGAGCAAATAAGCAAACAAGTAAATCTGTGATATCTGCTATAAAAATTGCTACTATGAAAAAGAGTAGAAGAAATTTGATGTCTGCGTACATGTGTTCATGTGCATGTGTGAGTTGGGAAGATCGTCTAGACCTGGTGGTCAGGAAGGGCCTCTATGAGAGGTGACATTGAAGCAGAGACTTGAATGAAGTGAAGGGGCTGACTATGGAAAGAATATTCTCGGGAGAGCAAAAGCAGGGACAGAGGCCCAGATTGTTCGATGAAGAGTAAGAAAAGCTTGGTAAACAAAGAGTTGAGCTTTATTCCAACAGAGTTTACACCATCATTCTGCTGTTGACGGGTGTAGAGATTTGACTGAGTTTGGAGGCAAAATTAAAAGCACAGAGATGCTTTTAGGGAGCTGTTGACTGTGGTTTGAATTAAGACAGCAGCAGTAGAGTTAGTAAAAGTGTTGATTCAGGATATACAAATACATGTACATATGGATTGCTTCAGAAAGTGGCATCTGAGTAGCCTGATTGAGGTTTTAAAATCCCAAACACTTTGTAAACATTGCATTATTTTAAATTGCATCACAGCATGTTCTAATACTCATTGTGTAGCTATCACCCCTTCTCCGCATTTATTAGGCTATAGCCAATCTTGATTCTTCTAAGTGTACCCACCAACTTCCTCCTCTGGATGATTCTGAAGGAAAACCAGTAAGCGTATCATTCCATCCATCAATAGTTCAGTACCAAAGCATTTTTCTTTTGTGTTGGCCACACAGACTATATTTTAAAAGTATTTCCTTAACTTACTCACAACATAATGACAAATATTGACCCAAGAATGCTTTCACAATTCTTTCAGGAAAAATAAAATTCAAGAACCATATTACTGCATGCTAAAGTCTTCTAAATAATTTACCAATCATCTTTTCTGGTCACAAGTTCTTCTCAGCTAGCCAAAAAATATTTTGAAAAATATTTCATTGCAATTCTGAGAGATAAAGGTTAGAAAAATCCCCAGCAACTGTGACTATCTTTTCAGGGTTTGAAGGGAACAATGTAACTTCGGGGAGAAGTAGAAGACTTTGCCTGTAGTTAGTGGAATAAGCTGGAAGTGACAGGCAGGAAGTTCAGATCATCATAGTTCTGTCACCTTAAACAACTTCTGTACTTCTCTTAAACTTCGATCCTGTAGCTGTGAACCAGGGATAATAATTCTTTATTGAGTTGTGACTAAATGGGTCAGCACCAGGAAGGGTTGTGGAAGGTGCCTGTTCAGAAACATTGGTTCTCTTCCTACCTTTTCCACGGAGTAGCAACACGCCCTGGGGGCACCATGGACCATGTGTGTGTAGCTTCCCTGCCATAGGTTCCAACCTGAGGCCATCAAAGTCCAGGCTGTCCACCAGAATATCTGTATGTACATGGTGGAATATTATTCAGCCATAAAAAGAGTGGAATTCCTTTGCACAATGCATGGAACTGGAGGACACTATGTTAAGTGAAATAAGCCTGGCGTTGAAAGATACGTATTGCTGTTCTCACTCATGCGCAGAAGCTCAAAGTGTATTTCATACAGAGAGTAGAATAGTAGTTGCCAGACAGTAGCTTAGCAGGAGGAGGAGTGGAATAGAGAAATTGGATACTGGGTACCATACTAACTAGTTAAGAAAATTAAATTCTAGTGTCCTACCATAGAGTGGAATGACTATAGCATTGTATCTTGTAAGATAGCTAAAAAGAGAGGATTTTAGATGATCCTAACACAAAGAAATGATGAATGAGAAAAACGCTGATTAGCCCAATTTGA